AAGACGGGGATAGATTCTCCAGGATATCCCGTGCGCCTGCTCGCTGACGCTGTTCAGCGCGCTAAAAATGATTCATTTGTCTACAAATGCGAAGCGGCTAGGGAGGGATCATAATACAGGTGACGGAGATGCTGATGCACGTTAGAAAAACGAGCATGCGGATATTTAAAAGTTGCAGAAACCTCAAAGTGCAAAGCTTTGTGGTGAGCGAGCGTGTTTTAGGCACCGGCCACGTTACTGCTTGTGGCAGAATAATTTTGAAGGTGATGAAGATATGTTTGTTCTTTGCCTGGCCATTAGGGCTCTTAAAAGAGAGCGGCGAACGGTGACCGTCAAGCTTCGGAAGAGCAGCGTTCACAGAATTGGTGTCTTCGCATCACAGCCTCTCAAATAGCTCCTCACCGTCTTGGTTTTAGTCTATTGCAACACGTAATCAAACAACAAGCGGGTTGCCGTCAGTCTGACGCGCAGCCCGCTGACGTCAGACTGACGGCCCCAGCTTTTACAAGAGGCTTGATGACGGCGCAATATAAGATATTAAACAGCTAAAGTACGCATCAATGAGTACCGAAAACAAAACAAGAAACACCGAGGTTTTGCAGTAGGGCCAAGAAAACACTGATTACTTTTTTTTTTTTTTGCAGTCATTTACACTCGCTTAAACTATTTTAATAAGTTGCACAACTCTGCTGTCAAGCCACTCGTGAAAGTTGGTAACGCCAGTTGAACGTCAGTGCGCTCTACGTCCAACTGAAGTTTAGGGGTGTCGCACGCTATGCAAAAACTACCTATTAACATAATCGGCGTGTTTAGGGTTTTTATTTATTGCTCTATGAAAAAAAATGTTTTAATTTACCTTACATTTTTTTGTACCGTGTTATTTGCAACATTGCGGTCCCTTTCCGTCACGTTGAGCACAGATTGAGCTGGCGGCCATGCGCAAGACCAGAAATCTGCAGCGTATGCGATACAGGAAAAGTCCCTAATGAAATTAGACCTCCCAGTCCTTTGTGCAAGGCTGTTGCAAAGCGGAGCACAATAATTTATTTTTTAACACGCTCACTTTTTTTCTTAAAACGGCTTCACGCATCAAGGCCGACAGTCCCTGCCACCGGTTCCGCGCCGCCGTCGCCACTGCCGTCCCCGCTCCTCCGGTTCTCCGTTCGTCCGCGGGAGGGCGAGCGGCGCGCTGGAGTTGTTATTACTGATTACCACGTTCGCTCGCCTCTTATCGGTTGTACGGCGCGTGGCAATATATACGGCGCATGGAATAAAGCAAGGGGTTTGTTCTGCTGGGAGCTACGTTGATGTATGTTCCTTCCTCGCGCCGCAGGGCACACGACAGTTTGAACGATCGCTCACACGATGGCGCTGCGTGTCCGCGAGGCAGCGGCTCCTGCGTTCCACGCCCAAGGTCAGCGCTAGAGACAGTTGTGGGCGCCGCCATTTTGGGTCGTATGCAAAACAGACGGAACTGCTGATCCTTATGAATCAAAAGTGCGACTTCCTGAGGATTAGATTCTGTGTTACGAAGCTCATGTAATATTGCTTTGTTTTGTCGCGAACTGTTTAAACATTTCTGGAGGGCGAAAATTTTTTGCTGTGATTTCAGATAAAGCTTCAGATAACTGTCAACCATGATTTTGAGCCACAATATGGGCAAATGTCGTTACTCTGAAGCGTAGCTTATTTAGTGGCACTAGTCAGCGCGTTGTACGCCGCAGATTAAGGAAGGATGCGAAAAGCGGCGTGCGTGCTTTCGCATTCACTACCGTATTTTCCGGGCTATAGTCCGCGGACTATACATGTTTAAAAGTTGCAATTTATGGCTGTGCGGACTATCTACGCGTGCGGACTATACAGGAATTATGTTTTTCAAGATCGTTTATTACGACGAGACGTGACGAATTTTGTGCTCGAAAGTGTATGTTAATGATGCTTTATGCACGTTATTAGCCCCGAGAGCGAACACAAGCGTCGCTGCGGTCGTCGCGCCCGGATTGGGTGAGGTGTACCGTGACGTCAGGGGGAGTACTCCGCTCCGCGATCTCGCATCGGCTCGCTTCCCAGCACCGGTTTCCTGGTTTGGCGTTGTGTGCCGCAAGCTATTCGAGGAGCTGGACTTCGTTTACTCGGTGTACATGGCGTTTAGTTAAGCTGATATTGACGTGCTTCCGTATATTTTATAGGCCTGCTTGTCCCTTTTAACTTTAAAATTGGGTTAAAAATCCGGAAAGCTATCGGCGGAGGCAATTCCGCCGATGAACCTCCCCGTCCGTCCACACGACACAAGGCAATCTTGCGAGGGGTCGGTGAAGCGGTGACGCCAGTGTTTCAAACGCTGGAATTCTATTCCTTCCACGTTCACGATTTAAGACGATATTACATCCCGCTTTCAAGGCAGTTGAAGTGGCATTTATATCATGGGCCTTTGGGTGGTCGGCAAATTAGCTCGCGACCCTGACTCTGCGCTGCCACTCTGCTTGCGCTGGTTCGCAGATATCTTAAAGGCCCTGCGTCTGATGATCTTGAAAGTGCTCGTGGAACAGGGTTGTTTTAAATAAATGTAGATTCTTTGTGAATTAATTATATAGTTTACACACGCATGCAGGCATATTTCTTAGAAGCTGCACAATTACTGGAAATTAGTTTGTATGGTAGCAGCAAAAACGGCCGAATCGCCCCCAGTTGTCTGTATGATATGTATTGAACTGCCAAACTATGCACTATGTAATATGGAATGTTTATACTTTTTCCTGACATTCTTTATTCCAGCCTTGGGTATACCGAAAACACACGTTTAGTCTGAATTGTCATTTCCAATTAAAAGGGACACTGCTGCAGGTCCCCAAAAGCTTCCTCAGCCTCCAAACTCCCTAGAGCTGGACTCTCTGACATCAGAAGAAAACAGGAGTAAAAGCAAGCATTCGAACGTCTGTCCAGTGGTAGATGCAGCACTATCAGCAGAAAATGTGGAACCTGTGAAGGGCGACAGTCTGCGGGAGAACAGCTTCAGGTATTTCAGCTTCAGGACAATTCGATTTAAGTAAAATTTCAATTTTAGAGCTTAAGGGGCTAATAACGAGCTAGACACCTTCGCTTACGTTTGTTATGCATTACTTGAGGGTTGATATAAACAAGTCCACAGATACCACCCATGTAGTCCATTGAAATACTATCCGAATCCAGCAAAGGTCAAATGCGAGCAATGTATATAATGAATGTTCCTTGTTTTTTTACTTTGCCCCTCCACTTGGGCTGCCTTACTCGTAATTCTCTCTTCATGGCCCTGGCTGTATTTAACATGTTGCTCGAACAGCATGCAGCTTTTCTGCTTCGGCGATCTTGTTTAAAAACAGAGATACAAAAGCAAAATAATATACATAACCTGCCAATTCATTCAGACCATCAGCAGCATTTATTGTGCGAGATGTAAATCTATAGTGATGCTCCTGGGATTCTGGCCATATTTCTTTATTTTCATTAACCAGCTGCGATTCATGCGTTGCCTGCCCTGTCAACCATGCTTAAAATGTTGGTTGAAGTTTCGCCTGTAGCTACAGGCCATACCTCAATAAAGGCACATAAAAAAAAATTTACACTTCAACGAAAAACACGCCAAAAAAATTAAATAGAAACGAGCGCGCCGTCAGCTACCGTCGTCACAGCCTCCACAGGGCGAGCGGGCCGAGTCGGGTAAATATTCTCTCCTCGCCGTGACGTCACCCCGGTTCGCCGTAAGGGGGCGCCACGCGAACTTCTCGGGGCTAATAGGCTTTATTGTGAGCTAAAAAGCAGACATTTGTAAACGTGTGCCGTCTATGAGAAGATTTTCGTGTCGACTAAGCACCAGGTGCGGACTATGCACCGGGTGCGGGCTATGCACCGGGTGCGGGCTATCTAAGCAAAATCTTTTATTTTTGACCCCGAATTTACCCCTGCGGACTATACACCGGGTGCGGACTATAGTCCGGAAAATACGGTACTTATAAAACTTGCTTAGGTGTACCTCGAGCCTTTTGTGCAGGGATTTCCCTAGACCCTCCTGGGGAGGTTGAGACCCCCCCCCCCCCCCTAGTTTTCCTGGAATCTAAAAAAATTTAAAAAAATCTTTTTTTCAGATTAAGTAGAGAACACCACCTCTCAGGTGTATATATAGAGAAAGGGAAACATACATCACGGGTATGAGCATTTGGTTAATAGACGTCTGTAATTTAGCTAGTGGACTAAAAAAGAAACAGTTTTATATTTTATCTAGCCTCGCCTCGCATCGCCTCCCGCCTCCCCCCCCCCCCCCCCCCCCCCCCCGGGCCATTGGGACACCCCCCCTTGATTAGAATCCTGGGGAAACCCCTGCATATGTGTTTCTAGATGAGGCTGAAAGTACATGAAAGTATAATTGTAAGACATCGGTGGAAAGGGGGAGCTTCTAGGTGCTGAGTGCGTTTACTGAGCCAGGAAAGGTGACAATGACGAGAAACATTTCGTGAAACTTGAGGCGAAACTGCGAATATGGGGTACGCATTCTAGGTTTTGGTCGAAACTCCCACGAGCTGATTCCGGAGCTTTTGCTGTACATTCCATCGTGCCGCGGCGGCGGCCGCGGCCACGAGTGCAATTAAAAGAAATATTGTTTGCGTTTTGAATGTCACCATGACGAAGTCACGTGCGTTGCTCTTTCAGTTACAAAGACTCGCACATATTAAATCTAACGTGCCGAAATTAAATACCTGAATCCCTTACCTAGAAATTGTGATTGTAGGGTATTTGTTAAGCTCATTTCCTCCGCTAGAAGAATATTCCTGGCTAGTGGTCGGTCACATTAGCTGTCAACCATCGCACCCAAGGTCATTGAAACAATTTTGGCCAATGATGTGCCCTTATGTTTGCCCTATTCTAACCAATAAATAAGCAAGCTCTCTACGTTGACGGCACGTGTGCACCCTAGCCCTCGAAAGAGTGTTGGAAACTCGTTCACGAAATCATGTTCGGCAGCGTCCGACGAATCCAGTTGGTGAACTCGAGCGATCAGCCCGAAGCGCTCACAAGCCCGAAGTGGTGCATCGGACTACCTTGAAGCTGGTGAGCAGAGTTTTTGAGAGCTGCAAGTAGCCTCGAGTCCCAATCTTGTAAAAGTAGCGACACGGTAAGACGTTTGATTCTGCTCTTGTGTCAACCTTGATCCACGTCGAGTGGCCAGCTAGATAACCGGTCACAACTCAGTAGGGTTTCCGTGACACCTGGTCAGTTTTTACTTACAGTATCTAGAAGTCGTCCTTGAAGTCTTTCCAGCGACTGTCCCGGCTCTTCTGATGTTGGTACTCCTACCTTGTGGACGCTTCTTTTACTTCTGCAGAAGGAGGCGTAATGGCTTCCCTTTTTGCAGAGCGTGCAAGGTTTTCCCCAAGCAGGATATTTTCTCGATTCATGGCTCCTTTCACAGTAGTCACACTGGCGCGTGTGCCCCTTTTAAAAAACTCGCGCCGGTGTTTGTTTGTTTGTTGTTGTTGTTTTGTTTTTTATTCTGGTGAACCTTTGCTTATTTCTCGAATGTGAGATTCTGGGCTGCCACTAACTCTGCCGCTTTGCAAACCTCGATGGCCATTTCCAAAGTCAGGTTCTTCTCGCAAAGAAGGCGCGCTCGCAACCTTTTGTCTACTGTTCCACAAACTAGTTGTTCCCTGACCATGGAATTCTTAAGCTGACCAAAGTTACATGTTTGAGCCTTTAGTTGAACGACGTATAGGAATTGCTTGAAGCTCTCGCCCTCTTGGTGCTGCCTTGATAGATGAATGTACCTCTCGTAAATCTCGTTGCATTTCGAGCTGCAGTAGTCCGCGAAGGCTTTGACGATGGCGCCATAACCCTCTCGCTGCGCCTCTGACAGTGGAAACGTACTGAGTAAAATAGAGTAAGGATGCAGGCGAGCGAGTGAATGTTAACCATGTTGAAAAAACCTGAGGCTAGAGCAGAAACGAACTTTTTTGCCCCAGTCTCAGGTTTATTCAACATGGCACTGAATATGTTTATCGCCCTTGACCAGCAACGTGCAGAAAAACACCTGCCTTTTGCGCTGACGTTCTTTCTTTCCTCTCGAGCATGATGGCTTTGAAGTAGAGCTCGATACGCTGCCGGATCTTCTTTCAGATAATGCTGAAGCTTGGGCTAGTTGGTGCGACTTAATTAAAAGGTTTAAAACAGCGCAACAGACGAGGGACGAGAAGTTGAAGGACACAGACACAGCGCTGGCTCTTACCTAAATTTTATTAATCGCAAGCGCGCAACAAGTACTTGCTTGGTCAAGAACAAAGAAAACACCGAAAGATAAGACCGCCATGTGTCAACGATATCCATTATCGAAAAAAAAAAACAATCGCACACGCACATTTTACACTAATCACGTGCAAAAAAAAAAAAAAAAACTCTGCAACTCGACGTTTACTTCCAGTTTTGTTCGGCGCCGTCTGAAAGCAGTAGGCGCTCGGGAGAAGGCAGACGTTCCACCCAGGCGTTGATCGTTTGACGTTTTACTGACTAGATTTCTCATTGTCGACATCGAGAAAACGTGCTTCGTTAAATTCGCGCGTCCACAGTGTTGCCAGCCGTAGCCGCCACAAAAATTATGCAACTCACACTTTAAATTTGGTAGCCCTACCACTGCTGCACGAAAAGCTGACAATGACACCACATATTCGTTGCTCAACAAGTTCGTATTTGGCAAGTGTCAAGCTCTAAGCGCTAGGAAAAATCAGTCAACCTTTGCAGCGGACGAGGTTCACGTCTTTTCTGGAATGTAGTTGACAAGCATTTATAATTGACAGAAAAAAAACAAAAAACATTCAGCTGATTCGATCAGCGCAGATATTTAGTTACCAAGTTCTTTTTTATTTGTCAATATATTATTATGACACGCCGGCTTTTCTAGGTACTCGGTTGTTTCAAATTTTAAACTATTGAATTCCCAGTTTAATCCAATGCAGTGCTTAAGAGAACTGGTAGAGAACAAATTTGGCCGTCTGTAATATTTTTGCCAGCTTCTACTCCTCTGCCGCTCTGTGGATGAGCAGTTTATCTGAGAGTATTGCGAGGGGGAAACAATGTGCATTTGCGTTTTCTGAATGCCAATATCTTTAATGCTCTACTGCCACATCACTTTACCTTTCTGTAAGCATTGCAACCACTTGCAAACGCGTTGAATGTACTCCAGGGGGACAAGAACATGTTCATATATCAAAAACATGTTGGAAGTCTGCTTCTGACCATCACAGCGCTGATGCGTAGGCCTGGGTCGGTGTCTGCAATTCAACTGTGTGAGCCTCTCCGGCTGCCTGAGATGGCTGGCATTGAAAGAGGTAAAGCTAATTTTGTGTATTTGTGCCTATATTTGCTGTTGCAAGTAATATAATGGTCACAAAAAAAGGGGTGGGGGAATCGGTGGTTGATTGTGTTAACACACCGCAGCTCGAAGCACGCGGAGCGACAGCGCGCTGCAGAACCCTGTGAATCTTGGTTATAGCTTATATCCCCGCCTCTTCCCGTTTCAAACTAAATGAACATCGTACCGGGGTGCGTTCGTGTATCACCACTGCATGGTGTATCAGACGGCCATTGGGTCTGACTAACTTCCTGCTCTCTAACGTACCCACAGCTGAATTCTATTTCAGAGAGTAATTGTGATCCCAATGCTTATAATAACTTATTTTCAAGAGGTTTGGCCGCGCTATAAAGGACAGGTCCCTGATCCTCAGCGCGGTTCTGGTGCCTCAATTCAAGTTTCTTTGGATCCCGGACGGCCAACGAGAAATGGTGAGCCAAATAATGAAAGAGCCAATAGCCAGCCTTCCACAGTCGTCGATCCCGACAACAGAGGAACTGCGACCTACAGAAAAGCATGATGATTTTTTAATGCGAAAGAATTAATTGTTCCATGGAGCGAATTGACGTTATCGGCTTTTGAAGCCGCGCCAAACGGCACCTAAACTCCCCTGTCCCAATTCAGCGAAGCCTGTCGTCTGTAGCAGCGATCTCGTGGATAAGCTCCCATTGGATGGCGCCCGTCATAGTTTCAAAAAACGAGCTCCGAAGCGGCACGGATTTTGGCCAAGCATGGCCCATTGGCTGGCGATGGTTCTTCGGCCTATAGCCAAAGAGTGGCCATTCATCGGCCAATGGCCAGAGAAAAGCCATTCATCGGCCAATCACTGGCCATTGTCTGGCCACTGGCCAAATGATCATTGCCAGGCATTGGCCAGTGATTGGCCAAATCTGTGCTGCTTGGGAGGTTCCCATTGGCTCTCGCGTGGCGGAGTTCCAAGGAACGCCACCAGAAGAGCCCTTCATAAGGTGGCGCAGTGGCCCGGCCGCAGTTAAGAGGGAAGGGCTTGCCGCCGAGCCAGTAGGGCCCGCACGGGCAGACTCCGGGGTGGCTGCACGGCCGAGTTCAGCGCGGCATGGCCACTTCATGAGAGCGCGCTCTCGGCCATCTGCCGCAACCTCGGCATTATCGAAACGTGGTCGTCCACGCCAGTACGCCGCAGACGATTTAAGGGAGCCGAAGAACGACATTCCGATGCTTTTTGCATTAACAGCTCATAAATGCATAAGTGTCCTCAAAGTTTTTTTGTTTGTTTTTTTTCGTTCGAGCAGCTTGTGCATCTACGCAACAGCAATGATGCTGCTACACCATAGTTGTTGTCTTAGCTCCACCGCGGCGACGGGAGCGAGGAGGTGACGGAACTCACAAAGTACCCCATATATTATTACATTTTCTTGAGGTACAACTTTGCTGTGCCTTTCGGCGCCTCTGTAGAGCGCCTGTTCAGCATCGGCGGTCATGTGTCTAAAAAGAAGAAAGGCAGGCTCTCCGATGAAAACTTCGAGAAGCAGCTGTTCCTTTGAATGAATGAACCTTTTTGTAAACGGTGTTCTTTTTTATTGTCTTATATATTAGAAGCTGTATTACTTTGATTTTTATAACAATTTGTAACTTGAGAGTATCTTGGGAGTAACGAGTTACTCTTATCAAAATTGAGTACTCCACTATGATAATTTTTAAATATCTGTATTTATAAGTCTACTGAGTTACTGTTTAGCCTCATATTCAGTAGCTTATTTATTTATTTATTTATCTAAGTACCCTCAAGACCCTGGGGCATTACAGAGGGGAGTGGTACAAGACAAATTTGGAACACAAACAATATACAAGCACTAAAAGCCAAGCACTAAAAATGTAAAAAAAAATATGTAAACAAATTAAGAAATGTATAGAATAAGGCAAACAAACAAAGAAAAATATTAACATAGGTAAGTAGTCAACGCACTTTTAAACAAGTCAAAGGACAGTTTGTTTAGTAATTGCGCGGGAAGGCGATTCCACTCTGAAGATGTCCTTGGAATAAAAGAGTTATAATAGGCTGAGGTAATGCAATGAGGAATTCCGACTTTAAATTGATGATCTACGCGCGGCGAGATGAAAACAAGATTTAACATCAGTTTGCTTTTTAGCGAAGTATTGGAATGATAAATTTTATAAAAAAGACACAAACGAGATATTTTTCGCCGTAATGAAAGAGCATGAAGTGATAAATTAGTTTTCTGGACACTTAGACACAGGGTCTATCCTAAAGTTTCTCTTTAGGTACCCAAGCATGGAGTTAGCGTTGGCGATAATGTGGTCAGTATGAGTTTTCCATGGCATGTTAGAAGTGATGTACACCCCAAGGTACTTATAGCATGGTACAGTTTCAAGAGGAATTTCAACGATTCAGTAAGTAGAAGATATAGTAATTCGACGGGAGATATTCATCGCTTTACATTTGTTAGTATTAAGGGACATTTGACTCAAATCACACCAATCAGCCACAGTTTGTAAGTCATTTTGAAGAAGCTCGATGTCAGTAGTATTAGTGACTTCTCCATAAATTACACAATCATCAGCAAAGAGGCTAATCGGTGATGATACACACAGTGGTGAGTCATTTACGTAAATTAAAAACAACAGGGGCCCCAAAACAGACCCTTGCGGTACACCAGAAGTAACAGGTTTGATAGAAGAATTTATATTGTTAGCATGAACGAACTGA